AGTGCTACTACAAGAATATCAAATTTGACGTGTGCAACATAATCTACATACCAGACACATATCAACGATGTAGATATTGATAATACGAAGAATGTGACATTGTGTTTTTAAATGTTAAGTTTTAGACTGGGTTCAGTGTGGCAGCAACGTTAAGAGTATACACCTGATGATGGCCGATAGAGGCCGAAACATGTAGTGTAGAAAGAACAAGATCAAAGACATATAATATATATTGTTTGCACTTGGGACGGAATTTGTGTCATTTAAGGTAAATCTATCATTTTAACAGGTCATGGAGGCCCACAGGGTTGTGAAATGTCAAGGCTCACACATTTTTTACACAATCAGCTCACAGATGGTGGTGAGGTTATCAGACTTAGTGCCCTGGCCACACTTTATCCCCAGGAAGATTCCTGGTACTCATTAGTTAGAGGCTGAGTTAGCGGCCTCCGTAGTCTAGAGGTAACGTTCCCACCTCATGACTCGTAGTACGCGGGTTCAAATACCCAGCGGAGGTCGTTGAATTGTTAAGGGCAGAAAAATTCAGGGAACAAGTCCTCTGGGAGGGACTTTAAGCCGTGGGTCCCGTGTCGTGGCTTTACGGCATGTAAAAGAACCTCATATCTCCAAAGGAGGTCACTGAGCCAAATTACGGACGTTTCCCGCCCAACAGCAGTCTCTAATACTTCTGGTAGATGGGGGAAGCATTATAGATACCTCTCAGCTAGTAGAGCGGTCTCGCTGGCTGGGCGGGACTGATGGTAAGCACCAGTACCGGTAGGATATAGAGACTGGTAGAAATCATAGAGGGAAGCACAATGGACCAATACAGGTCTAAGTGCATGGAGAAACCCACCCTCTCCAATAACTAACTAACTAACTAGAGGCTGAGTTGACCCCAGGACCATAGGGTGGCTGGAAGTTATTAGGTAAATTGATAAATCCAATAACCTCATTAGGAATCAAATCCACGACTTTCTGGCTTATAGCAAAGTGCCACAACCAACAGTGCTATCCTGTGTGGGATTGTCACTGTTCTAAATGACAATCACATAAAACTGTAACAATTGTATGTATTCAATCATATAAACTGAATTTACAAAATAGCTGCAAAGCTATGTGGAATGTTCAAAAGTTGGCTGGCCCTCAAAGGGCAGTTTGTTCCACCGCGAGTGTGCTGGCAGATTTCGCTCCTCTGTAGTAGGTGGAGTCTTAAGACTGTTCAGCTGGCCTGTCTGGACGGTCATGCAGTGCTGCGCGTGCCGGTAGAAATGGCTGCCTCAGTCCGTTGTTGGAGCTGCGGCAGCTGCCTGGTGCTGGAGACTTGTCGCTACTACTTCGGTTGCCTGGTCACTGGAGACTTGCGGCAACTACATCAGTTGCCTGGTCGCAGTGAAGAGCTGATGCCTCTGATGACCGATCACTCTAAACTGAATGTGATCACTGACAATTGCCAGCTTTGGTCTCTGCCTTTTATATCATGCTTGATGGGCGGAGTGAAACTTGCAGTTGCAATTGAGTGCTGATTGACCAGCAATGATGCGAAGTTGGGTTGGACAGCGAGTGCTATATAAATATGAGTGCAATGTCCGGTAATGTGATATTCACTTAGGAGTGAGTGTTGTCTGAAAGATGGGTGAAACAGTGTGTTATGTGGGGATGTTCCCACACCTGCCAAACACAAGCTGCAAGTGTTATCCTTGAAACAACTTGTTCGTTTTCAACAGGAAGACTCTGAGAACACAGACTAAGCCAATGCTTACTTTATTATGGAAAGATACAAATATAAACTGAGATTATGGCCTTGAGGGACATTATACTGTACAGTTTGGTAAGCAGGTACCATAGTTGCATGATGATACTGCTCACATATCTATCCTGAAGATGGAGGCAGCAGGCAGGACTGTAACTGCCCTCCTCTATCCTGGCCTCTGATTGGCCAACCTTCTTGTTTCCTTCTGCCCACTCCTTCTACCATGCCTACATAAACCCCATTCCACCCTGAAGATGGAGGGAAGTTCCTACAGAAGATTAATATGTGACTACACAGCGTCTTCACTCTGAAGCTCTGAACCTAACCGTTCACTACCATGACAATTCTCAAACACTGGTTCCACACTGAAGTCATAAACAGTAGCACAAATTGGCAGTAGAATGCAGTCTGGTATCCACCTATGCTGTCATAATGTACCTCCACATACCAGCACCACTCAGTAAGTAAAATGAACACTCGCTAATCGGGATACAGTTAATCTGGATTGAATTATGAAAAATGCTGCTCACAGTTGAGTACATACTTCAAGAAACAAATGGGATTTAGGAGGGCAGACGAGTCACTTGTCTGTTCAGACAAAATTTGAGACAGTTTCTTCAAACCTGCATTATTATATTCAAAAACACATACAACTTATGAGTCTTCTGTCAATGNAGTCATAAACAGTAGCACAAATTGGCAGTAGAATGCAGTCTGGTATCCACCTATGCTGTCATAATGTACCTCCACATACCAGCACCACTCAGTAAGTAAAATGAACACTCGCTAATCGGGATACAGTTAATCTGGATTGAATTATGAAAAATGCTGCTCACAGTTGAGTACATACTTCAAGAAACAAATGGGATTTAGGAGGGCAGACGAGTCACTTGTCTGTTCAGACAAAATTTGAGACAGTTTCTTCAAACCTGCATTATTATATTCAAAAACACATACAACTTCTGAGTCTTCTGTCAATGAATACATGTACCATCTTTTTATAGTTTTTAAATAAAGGCTCTACAGTGATATTTTGTTATTTATTTTCATCACCACAAATAGTGCCCCCTTTTTGCCTGAAGCTTGGCATTATATGAAAATGTTCCATCATTATTCTACAGATGAAGAAATTTTCACTAACCTCTAACAGTGTTTCTGATTCAGAGGGAATGCAGAGCCCCATAAAAGGGTATGTGGAATACACTTCATTGAAAGGACACAAAAATATCTTGACAACTTTCTTCTCTATGTTGTTTTCTGCACATGGAATAGACAAAGTCTGCTCAGAAAGAAAAGGTCTGTGACCCTCTCTGTGACTATTATGTACAGCTCTGCACAGTTTGAGATGGAAATTGAGTTGCCAACAAAAACGAATGCTTGAACCTTCACTCCAAGACCACAAAGCATGACTAAAAAGGGTTAAGAAATGGTGATCTAACGTTTTTATTAATCCTGTCTCTAGCATGGCCATACAAATAAAAGAAAGAATCTCCATTATCATCTAGCTTGTTACACATATAATTTTGATGGCTCAATAAAATTCATCACACAACTCACTTCTGAGAGGTACTTTTATGGTCTCCCTATGTCAGTCACATGTGACAATTAAAGAGATTCTCCTGGAAAGTGCCAAAACCAAGTAACACATAAAACCTAAAAGGATCTTATCTCTGTATGACATCCAATTTGACAGTTATACCTGACAGAATACTGCAGATATGCCATCAACAATTTCAAGCACATCTGATTCTGCAACTGCATAGATTACATCGGCGTAAACACTATGCCGAAGATACAAGGGGATGACTAGAAGCAATGTAGGAAGAACAGCCGTCAGTAGGCAGAACATTATAACACGGCGTGCTCCATGCATCTTTCCACGCCCTGGAAAAGAATAAGGACAAAGTGAGTATGACAGAATATGAGCTCATATGGAAAATACTTTACAATGAACACTCTGATACAAACACATTAACATTAAGCTGGAGTGTAGAAAAAAGTAATAATAGTCCAACTCTTTCCTTCTACCGTTCATTGGCGGTTTTTTTCTGGTATATTTACTGCGTTACCATGAATTACCAACAGAAAAATGCGGTGTTGTTTTTTAATGTGCTGGGTTACGTGACATAATTCATTTTGTGGTTATGTTACACTTCTACGTTCACGTCAACTTTCATTCTGATCTCCACACATACACAATTATCGTTACTGTATTGTGTCGGTACTCATACTAAGTTAGGCACGACATCCTAAATATTTCTTGCAATTCCGATATCTTATCGGTACTACGAGAAACCAACTGTTTCACATTTAAATGCCTGAAACATGCTAAGTGTCAATATGTAAACATAACTTACATAAGAACGGCCACTGCGTCTTGGGCTAATTTTACGCAAACTATTCCAAAGTAATAATTTAATGATGTGTGTATTATTGTCAAATCACATCTCCCTCCTCTCCTGTTAACCTAGATCTTACTGCTCTCGTCCGCCCTGTGACTACATTTCCAAGAAATGCAAAGTATGCCGCACTCTTGTGTCTAAGGATGTAAACTCGTTTAAACCTGGGCTCATTCTCTTTGCTGTCCCGTGTGTGCCAACACAGTTATTAGTTGGATATTTTAACATCATTTAACACCACTGCAATTAAGACTGACAGCCTATCTTCCCGTTGCTTACGCTTATAGTACTACGGTCAGCTTCTAAATTACATGTTTTTTCTTATATTGCTAGTGAGGCGGGACTAAGTCCCTTGTACTGCGGCCACTTCTGGCCTATTGTACCAGCATCAGGTGGTAGGTGAGAATGATTGTGGAGAAATTGGTGGGATGAAGACTGGCAGGGGAAACCGAAGTATTCGGAGAAAACCTGCCCCAGCGCCACTTTGTCCGCCACTATTCCCACTTGACCAGACCCGGGATCGAACCCGGGCCGCCGCTGTGGGAAGCCAGCGACTAACCGCTTGAGCTATGGCGCAGCCCTTAAATTACACGTTTAAAAATGGATAGAAATGTCTGTCCTGAGGGCTGGAACGAGGGGTAGACATTTGTGAGCTGATAATGGGCGCATGGGTTAGGGACCTGGAGGGGGCGGGGCGCAAGCCAGGCACCTCCCTCCTACATTCTTGCGAAAAAATAAAAGCTTAAGATATGAATAATAAAAATGATAAGCATTTTAAAAATTATTTTATAACATGAATACTCTGTGGCTATCTATAAATATAGTCTTAATCGGTTTAAACGTTAGAAAATGTTCTGGCTGCTCCAACCCCTTGAAAAACATCCCGGTGGCACCCAGGTCCTATACGCTTTAAATAATTACGCTAATCCGATTACCGAAGGGAGGGGCACACGGTAGTGTAGTTGGTCGAGGTACTATTCTACAAGCCGGAAGGTCGCGGGTTCGATTCCCGATGAGATCATTGAATTTTTAAATTGACCTAATCCTTCCAGCCGCCATATGGCCCTGGGGTCAAAGCGGCCTCCGTAGTCTAGGGGTAACGTTCCCACCTCATGACTGAAGGGACGCGGGTTCAACCCCGGCGGAGGTCGTGGAATTTTTAAGGGCGGAAAAATTCAGGGAACAAGTCCTCCGGGAGGGACTTTAAGCCGTGGGTCCCGTATGGCACGTAAAAGATCCTCATGTCTCTAGGAGACCTCTGAGCAAAATTAGGCAAAGTTTCCCGCCCAAGTAGTTTCCAATGTCTCCGGTAGATGGGGAAGTATCGGGATCCACTGCCAGCTTCGCTGGCTGTACGGGGCTGATAGTGAACACCAGTACCGACAGGGTATGGCGAATGGTAGAATATCAAAGGGGGGCGTACAATAGACTATTAGGCGCGGTGCATGGGGAAACCCACCCCCTCCAATAATAATAATAATATGGCCCTGGGGTCAACTCAGCCTCTAACAGAAATGACTACCACGAATCTTCTTGTGGGGTAAAGGGCGCCATATCAGCCAATTGTCTAGAAAGTGTGGGAGCCTCGACGTCTAAGAACCATATGGGCCTCCATGGCCTGTTACAGGACAGCTTTACATCATACCATAGAAAATGACAATTTGTAATGAGTTGCCCCAACAGAGGAAGGTGCGCCAGAAATAGTAACTACTAAGCTGTCAAATGTCGTTGTATATAATCAGCCAAAGACATTATGTCATCATCCATCACTATCTGACCAATTTACCGCCGGCAGATTGGTTTAACTGGTACGTCTGTAAGACATCGTTGTCTATTGGCCACACATGCTCTGTGTCACTGCCTGTTATTGGCAGCCATAACACCAATGTAAACGGCAAGGCAAAGTTTTTTGTTTCCTTGGGACTACAGCCCCAGTGGGCCTAGGCCTACCTCCATGAACTTCTCCTTTCACTTTGGTTTTTCTAGATCTTACACATTCGGTAGGACTCCTTGGGCTGGTGATCAGCTCGTCGCAAGGCCTCTACCTGTACACAAACACAGAAAAACGCAAATACACAAACTAAACATCCATGCCCTGAGTGGGTTTCGAGCCCACGATCCCGGTTTCCAAGCGAACGAAGACAGTACATGCCTTAGACCGCTCGGCTACCGTGACCGGCAAGGCCAAGTTTTAGCTGCGCTTAATTAATAAAAAGGGGGGGGCACGCTGTAGCGTAGTTGGTTGAAGCACTATGCTACAAGCCGGTGGGTAGTGGGTTCGATTCCGGACGAGGTCATTGGATTTCCTTCAGTTGACCTAATCCATCCAGCCGCAATATGGCCCTGGGGTCGATTCAGTCTCTTGCGGCCGGCGCTTAAGGCTGACAACCTCACCGCTGTGAGTCAGTTGTATAGAAAATGTGGGAGCCTCGACGTCTCACAACCCTATGGGCCACTATTCGGCACTACATGGAGTAAAAAGTAAAGTAAAGTAGAGCTATTCCTGTAACAGGCGGTGAAGGCCCATAGGGTTGTGAGAAGTTGAGGGTCTCACTTTATCTAGACCATCTACACAATCGGCTCAAAGATGGCGGTAAGGTTGTCAGCCTTATGCGCCGGCCGCGCTTTACTCCCCAGGAAAATTATTTAATTAATTCCTGGTAGTCATTTCTGTTAGAGGCTGAGTCAAACCCAGGGCCATAGTGCGGCTGGAAGGATTAGGTCAATTGAAAATAATCCAATGACCTCATCGGGACTTAAACCCGCGACCTTCCGGCTTGTAGCATAGTGCCTCAACCAACTACGCTACCGCGCGGCACTAGATGGAGGTGAGTGATAAACTTCATGCTCGTCCCGTTTTACCACTGGGGAAAGAGCCCCCATTACCCATTGGGTAGGAGACTGGGTGGGTCAGCAGTGACGCTGTGGAGAAAAATCTCCTGCCGCTGCCGGGAATCGAATCACGGCCGTCCTGCACGTAGCCCTTCGCTATACCAACTGAATTGTCCACTACGCTTATTATTATACATGCTCTCTCTCTCATACATGATACAACACTTAGTTCTAAAGCCATGTGGAAATATATACCACGCATAAACAAGAAATAAAAACTCCGTGGTTTTAATCAAAAGGCGAACTATACCGACGGAGCGACAGCCGCTTGCTAAAAGCATATATTGGGTGGAACAGACAAATTTGTTCTTTATAGAGACACTCAACTTACAGCGAGGAATGTGCTTAATTAATTGAAATGCAATTAAAACCTCAGCAGTTTTGCAATACAAAACTACATTTCATGGAATTGCTGCTGCTACTCAGTTTTGCCTCCCTCCCTCACACTCATCTTCAGATCCATAGCTACACGTATCATGGCATCTTGAAAACTGAAACTATCTTTTGCCGATACGTAATTGTGTACTAGTTACCACGCTTTGGTTATATTTTACGTTACTCAGCATTTAACGGTTTGTGAACAATTCTCCGCCATAAAGTTGTTTAGCATCATCCTTTATGGCAGTGTTTCCCAATCTGTGGTCCGCGCACCCCTGGGGGTCCGCGAGTAATTCAAAAGGGGTCCGCGGGATAGTTTATTTTCATTAAACTTTATCTTATCATGTTCCTCACACCTGGGATATTTGCAATGTATATCTCTGGCTCTTGAGGCCCATGGTTGAAGTAAAATTTAACGGGACTGTTGGTACCGTTACTTCTTCCCTTTGTAAAGCAGAGGTGAATAACCAACGATTTGTGTAGCTTTTTCCAAGGACATTTTCTTTTGGTCGGCCCATTGCATCTCAGACCCGTGTTTCAGGGTGGACTGCTGTCCTAGTACCTGCTCTCCGACCATTCTCCCCTCCTCCCCCACCAAATCCATCCCTCTTTGGTTGGGAATAAACCTGGGACCATTGACCACGTTTCTTATTCATTTCAGTGGCAGAGCGAACAACCCGTGTTTCTTTAGTTTTTGTGCAGTGAATTTTTATAATATTATACAAGTGTGTTTTTCTCGGTGTAATATTCAGTTTTTCTGCTTTTGTTCAAATAATTGAGTTCACAACGAAACTTCTGATTTTCAGTTTGTTCA